TAATTATTAAACTAAAAAAAAATCACAGTTGAATGGATAACTGTTGCGCAATTTGCAATCAATTAAATCAATCACATAAATACGCAAGTGCACGTGTTACAAGTAATAAAGGTATGTGTGAGCTTAAGATCGTTCCCACGGAGATGATTTATAAAGCATAGATTATTTAAGTAAAGAAATTAGAAAATGATTGATTTTTATGGTTGAGTTTGTAAAATAAAAGATAATTAACTAAGAAAATAGTAAGCTAATTCTAATGTATTAAAGTAATGGATGAAATATAGTTCAGGTTCAATTTCCCTGATACAACAATACTGAAACGATGCTATAACAATACTCTATCAATGCTTAATTAGTAAGTAACACAAGATATATTGGGGCTTATGACCAACCTAACATATCTATCTAATAATTAATTCCCACATCTCTATAGCCAAATTAATTACCAAATTCATTAAGTTCAAGTTCAAAGGCTATGTGGTGTGAACTCTCTATTCACCACTTAATTAAGCTAGTTATCTTTTATCTAATCAATCAAGTTACTTTTCTTTCACCTAATCAAATCAATTAAGTTACTCATTTTCACCCAATTAACCAAGTTACTCCACTTTTATCTAATTAACTCAATCAAGTTATTTTATCTTCACCTAATTGACCCACACAATTCAACAAGGGTCTGGATTCAAAAACCTATTGGCTCTAACCTCCTCAATATCATATATGTATCTCTCGACATGCATACATGAATATAAATAAGTAAACTTGTTGAAAAACTAATTAAACATTCATAAAAGTAAAGCTTAGGCATCCATTACAATGTTACAAAATAGATACTTTATCACCCAACCTAATGAACAATTTAGCTCACGATGGAATTAAAGAAAACAAAGAAGAAGAAGAAAGAATTAATTGAAAAATAGAAGAGAGGACTAAAAAGACACTATTGTAAAACTCTATCAAAGTTTTTTCCTCCAAGAATCTCTCGTTCTCTATATGTGATGTGGTACTACCTTCAGTCGTTCCAACCTTTTGAATTCGTGGGGCAGTCCTCTTTAAATAGAAAAAAATGGTTGGTTACTTGGGTCTCAACTTTGGGAGTGGAAATCCATAAATTGTGTTGTTGTATCCTTATCTTATCCTTATTTTATAGGGTTGTTGGCACTTGATTGGATAAGATCTTGATCTTCTTGGATTTATTCCACCTATATTGTTTTTGATTAGATAATAGTTTGTTATCCTTGATTGTTGGGATTTAAGATGTGGTTTGATCTTCAAAAACGTCCTTATCCCTTACTTGTTGGTGCTTTATCCGTTTGTTGGGAAAATAATTAACTTTTGAAATTTGAATTTCAGTTGTTCCCCTATCCTCGCTGTTATGCCATCGCGATTTCTATATCATAGCTTCTCTGCTACATCACTCGGGCATCACTTTTCCTGCAAAAACAAAGCACTCAACAAGTCATCTATTCTTACACAAAATCAAGGATAATTGTCTCAATTTCTATATTTAGTCATCTCAAAGCACTTAATCATGAATATGCAATATTTAGCTCAATTATCATACAAATAAGATAACTTATATGGAATTTTTGCCGCAAATTCATCATTAAAATATCAAATTAACTCTCATTTGGGAGAGTTAACAACAACCAATCTATTTATAACTCATTGATACAACAGGATAAGGGGTTCAATAAAGATAAATGTTTCATTTCTTGGCAGGTTTGATGACAACCATCATCTCGGTAACCCATTATGTATAACTTTATCCAATATTTCATGTGCAAATAATGCTGTCAAAACAAAGTTTCTACATAGAAATGGAATGGGATGATAGAAACATAAATCATAGAAATGACACGAAATATAAATTTTGTACTACTTAATGTCAAGGTACAAAAAATCACATAAGTCACTACTCAAAATTCAATGAACAACTTCGTATTTAAAAGTTATAAGTCATATAACTATATAAGACATAAATCCAAAAACACAAAAAAAGTTTAACAACTCCTACAACAAGTTTTAAAACAAAAAATGAGCAAAAAAGCATAGACACACACTTACCATTATTGTTGTTGTTTATTATAAAGCTTTGGTGGCTGTATCACTGGTGATGTGGGGGATAGGAGATGAGTGACACCAAGAGCTGCGGTGGACACGAGATTACTGAAGAGCGTGATTTGATTCAGATAGCTAGACGAAAAAAGTCGAAGTCGCTGTGCATTTTAATTTGGGGAAAATGGGAAATAAGGTATTTTCTTTTAAAAAAATAATAAAATCGGGTCATGGACTCATGGGTTAAGTTAACCTGATTCAGTTTTTGAGTTTAAGTAAAAACATAAAAACTTGTATTTCCACCATTTTTACTTGTTTTTTGACACTCAATTTTCTACATTTTCACGATTTTACACTTGTTTTTAATGATAGTGTACAAGTACAACAAAGAAGCTGATGCATAGCTATATAATATATTTAGGGTTTAGGGTTACAAACTCACGATAGGAAAGCTAAAAGGAAATAATTGATTATAATCAAAATACAAAATACAAAAATTTCAAATATAAGTTGATATTGGACATCTTTTATTGCCGTTGAAAAAATTAGAGTGACCATTTTGCCACGCCTGGCAAAAAAATTTACCGGACTGCAACGCCAACAATAAATTTTGTCAAAATGCTACGCGGCATATTTCGCTACACTGTGTCGTGTAATATGTTTGCATATAATTCGCTACACTGTGTAACGAAATATGCCATGTCAGGCTGCACAGTCAGCAAAAATGACACGTGTCAAGCAGGTATAAATTCGCTACACTGTGTAGCGAATTGTGCTTGAATTATGCCTGCTTGACACGTGTCATTTTTGCTGACTGTGCAGCCTAACATGACATATTTCGCTACACTGTGTAGCGAATTATATGCAAACATATTTCGCTACACAGTGTAGAGAAATATGCCGCGTGATATTTTGACAAAATTTACTATTGGCGTGGCAGTCCAGTAAATTTTTTTGCCAGGCATAGCAAAATGGTCACTGTTCCGAAAAAATTATGGTGTTATTGTGTCGATAAGCAAATGAATATGGAAATTGATTAAGTAGTACTTGGTGGAATTTTTTTTAGCTTATATTCTTTTCAAAAATAACTAAACATATTTTTTTTAAGTTATTTTCACAAAATATTTTTTATAATGAATAAAAATGAAAAAAATTATAAGTTTCTAAGATATATTTTCTGGGGGCAAGATCTTTTAACACTAATGTTACACCAAATTTTAACTGTTGATTTTCGTGAATCTGTTATAACTTATTGGATCACATTTATTAATTCTTAATAAGTTATAATCATTAGATTAATAAGTTAAAATTTGGTATCAAAAGATTCTGTCCGCTCCCTTTTTTTAAGATAGACGCTAATTTTTTTGGAGTTCTCATATTTATTTTTCAGTTATATATTTATTGTTAATTTGTATTTTCAAATTTTTTCTCTAACAAATTGTTCAATCTTGTCATCTCTTCCAAAATACTTAAAACGTCACAAAGAAATGATAGAGTCATATGTGTTATTGTGATTTGATAAATCACAATCATTTGGAGTATATCTTATTTTCGGATGAATCTCCCTATTAATAAAAATATTTTATTCATTATTGGTTATAATTTTTCATTTAAAATCTTCATATTTAAAACCTTTATTATTTATTTATTGTCATCTTTGTATTTATCTAAATAACTGAGTTCTCTAATATCCTTTATGATAATTTTTTTTCCTTTATGATAATTTTAATTATCAATAGAGTTTATGAAAAATATTTTATCAAATAATTATATGTTTTTAGTTTGAGCTTTAAAGTAATCCTCAAACTAAATTTTTTATTTAATCATCAAATAATTAGTAAATTTATTTTTTTAAGTTTTATATAAAATTGTTTTGCTTTATTTTATTTTACAAATAATGTACATAAAATTAATTTGTAAATATTTATTTTATTATAAAAATATAAAGAAACTAAGCAAACCCAACATCATTAAATCAAGACTCATAAAAGTTATAATAATTGACTAATTTGTAGTACATACCGTAAGTACACTCGTATATATTAAAATAGAGTGTACTTTCTTAATAATAACATAAATCTTTAATATATTTGTTCTTAAATAACACATGTTGACTTTATTTTATCTTGATTTAAATTTTTTTAAATTATATCTTAAATTTCTTAATAATTTAAAAATTTATTATTCACAAATATATATATATATATATATTATATTTATGGAAAAAGTGTTTGTCATTTTAAATGACAGAAAGTTATGTTATTTTAAGAGAGATACCGACACAGAAAATTTGAATTTTAAATTAAAAAAACCACTCACTTTCTCTTTCCCATGATTTCTGTGTCTATCTCTCTCCTAAAATGACATAACTTATGTCATTTAAAATGACAAACACCAAACCCTATATTTATATGAGGTAGGATCCTTTGACACCAGTGTCAAATTTCAAATTTGACATCTCATCTGAGAGCCGTTAGATAAAAAAAGATCAATGACTTTGATTTGTAAGCATGTGACACCATTGATCTTTTTTGATCTAATGGCTCTCAGATGAGGTGTCAAATTTAAAATTTGACAGCGGTATCAAAAGATCCTATCTCTATTTATATTATATCTAAATTTAAGAAGAGAATTAAATAATTACCGGTGATAAACAAATCAAACATGTGGATTCTTTTTTTGGATAAAGTGTGTCATTTTAAAGGATGTAAAGTTGTGTTATTTTAAGAGAGATAGAGATAGATAAAGGCAGAGAGAGTTGACAAAAAATAAAAATAAAGGTGCGAGTCTTACCTATTTGTGAAAGTAAAATGATATAAGTTATGTAATTTAAAAGGATAAACATTTCTCCCTTCTTCTTGTACGAAAGAATATTAAAAGCTTAATTTATACGTCGTCCCATGAGTGGCGGTGAATACAGCTATAAATATGTCCCAAGCCTGCCAAAAGCAAAAGGTTGAGTCAAGAGCGAAAACATTAGGTTGGTGAATTGGGGATTAGGGTTTTGGGTGAAAATGATCGAGGTGGTTCTGAACGATCGATTGGGGAAGAAGGTGCGGGTGAAGTGCAATGACGATGACACAATCGGGGACTTGAAGAAGCTGGTGGCGGCTCAGACGGGAACGAGATCTGACAAGATCCGCATTCAGAAGTGGTACACCATCTATAAGGATCACATCACTCTCAAAGATTACGAGATCCACGACGGCATGGGTCTCGAGCTCTACTATAACTAAGCTCAAGGTCTCTTCTTTATTCCCCCTTTTTTTTTCAATAAAGTTGTAATCTTGTTCCCGCAACACGATATTAGGGTTTTTTTTTTTTAAATTTAGGGTTTCCGAATTTTGAGGGTCATTGATCATGTGATTTCTCATGTCAATTATATTTATGTAATCAATTTCTATATTTTAATTCTCTTATTTGCCCGAGATTGAATATTTTTGTCTTCTTTTTCTTTTGGCTTTTGAGTTATGATTTGTCAACTTTTCTTTCTCTTTTGAAGAAAATTTCTGGTACTGATTGGTAAGTGCCTTGTGTTCTGCTCTGGTGAGGATTAGATTGATATGCCTAACTGGAAAAGAATTTTGGAAAGATGAATGCAACTGGTTTTATGTATGGAATAACACTCCCAACACTGAATTATTATTATTATTTTTTTGTTTAAATTTTGATTAAATACGTGTACATATTTCTCCAACTTTTCATTATTCAAGTTCATAAACTTAATCTGCATATTTTCTTGTTTGTTTCAGGTGTGCTTTATGCATAACATACTATATGCTGGGAACGGGATAAAAGCGTCAAATGTTTGTGTAACTTGTGAAAGACCTCTTGGATTGGAATAATGTATACATCACCTTAGATGATATTGGGTTTAATTTACTGTTGGAATCGTCAGTAACTGTATTATCCCCTTATATATATATATATATATATATATATATATATATATATATATATGTATTTCTGACTTGTTCCTAGATTCGTATGAATGCAGTAATTCTGGTAGAGTCTGATCTATTTCAATCTGATGGGTGAAAAAGCGTTTGATGATGGCAATTGCTTTTAAATTATATGGTCACGACTCACGAGTAATCTGATTTTGGTTATACTTTAATTGACTGAACAATGGATGTTAGGACTTCATTGCAAGTTCACCGTGTTGTACGAGCTCAATGCCTATTGTAACACATCCCCATGCGCTTTCGCATGGACAAGGAGAGCCTCCTGACGGGCTTCCAGCGACGGGGTACATGAATGAATCGAATTAACACCCGAAAGAGAGGATTCCAGAGACTGTTCCGGGCTACCGAAAAATAGATACATCTTGTTAGTATAAGCAGTACCAATTAATTCTTATAAGTTAAGCGTGCTTAACTATGGAATTCTCACTGAAAAGTCTCGTGTTGATGAGGGCGGGGAGTGATCGTCGGTGTGAAAGGGCATGGACAAGGAGCGGCTCTTGGCAGGCTTCCAGCGACGGGTACATGAATGAATCGAATCAATACCTGAGAAAGAGAGATTCCAGAGACTGTGCTGGTATGAGACGGTACAATTGAGAATAACTTATAAGAATTAATTGGTACTGCTTATACTAACAAGATGTATCTACTTTTCGGTAGCCCGAAACAGAAGAATTTCATAGTTAAGCGTGCTTGACGTGGAGTATGTGGTGATAATCATTAATTCTTGAAGTGGCCGGACGTTACACCTATTATATGCTGTTTTCGTAATTAATTAAAAGGCGGTGGCAATCTATCCTCTCTGGTTTAATTTGAATCAATTTGATGGTCTACGCGATAAAGATATCATTCCAAAACAAAAAGTAAAGCAAATTGTCACTGGTCAATTTTGCCCTATTAGAAACAACTCTTAAAAATACTTTATGAGGGTCTTTGCAAATGCTGGGGAAAGATAACTAGTGGGGATCGATACATTACTCAGTTTGTAACGGTGATGCTAATATTGCTTCTCAATTTTTAATTTTAAGTGTATGAACTCGAAAATGTTTCTTTATACATAACAAACTTTACGCCTGACCTATATCTAGTATGTGAAGAGTTAGTTAGTTATTGATTAATGATATTTACTGTGTGGTCAACATAATTACATTTTTTTAAGGATAAAAATGGAAAATAGTTCACAAAACTACAAAAGGATAAGTGACATTAATCAACAATGAATTCATTGGTAAGCAAATCGATATTTTTATACTTCCCTACCAGAAGTCATTACAAGAACATCTCCCATTTTTGAAATGATGGAAGCGGCTTCGGTCTCGCACAATGATTTCTCTCCGAACAATATCAGATATGACCTTTATTGCATCATGACAATCATTGCAAACTCGTAGGTTCTTTACTATTCTAATTGTTGTTCCTTCACTAGTACTAATTAGCCCAAACGCCACTGCCAACTTCTCACTGTGAGTGGATAAAGCATTCTCCTTCTCCTCTTCATCCACATTATGTGTAACAAGATCTGTCTTCGGTTTGTACCCAGCTAACTTCATTTTAGATATTAATTCTCTAATCATGGAATATATCTTATCTGACAGAGGGTGTGAGAGGTCTCCCATGAAGAACTCATGAACTGTGTTATCCACCTCTATCCAACTGCAGCCAGGCGTTTTCATTATTTCGTTGTCACGCATTCTCAACCTACATTTTGCTGCATCATCTAGCCTTCCCATTGAAGCATAAATATTAGCAAGATAAACATAGCTTCCAGAATGGGATGGCTGAAGTTCAAGAATGTGTTGCACCACACGTTCCCCTCTCTCTGCATCTTTGTACGTCCGACAACCACCAAGCAATGCCCCCCAAACTATGACATTAGGCTTCATCGGCATTGAGCTAATCAATTTCTCGGCTTCGTCCAGACGACCAGTGCGGCTAAGAAGATCCACCAGACACCCGTAGTGTTCAATCTTGGGAGAAATTCCATAGACTCGATCCATCATATGAAAATATTCAAGCCCTTTATCCACCATCCCAGCATGAGTACATGCTGTTAACAGTCCCATAAAAGTTATATCACTTGGCATCATTCCATGTTCCAGCATTTCTCTAAAGCAACTGAAAGCTTCATTAGCATGCCCATGCATCGCCAAGCCAGTGATAATAATATTCCAAGAGATAACATCTTTCTCTTGCATTGCATCAAAGACCCTCCTAGCATCCACTATGCATCCACACTTTGCATACATATCAGCCAACGCATTCCCCAAAAACAGGCCCAACGCCATCTTATTTTGTCTTATAAACCTATCAATCCACTTCCCAAGATCAAGCGCGCCAAGGTGAGCACAAGCAGGTAACACACTAACAAGCGTAACAGCATTGATGACAAGACCCTTTTGCTGTTGTATCTGGCAAAACAAATCAACAGCATCACCATATTTCTCATTCTGTGCATAACCAGCGATCATGGCATTCCATGAAACCACGTTCCTCTCCGGCATTTCATCAAAAAGCTTCCGTGCATCATCCAAATTCCCAAACTTTGCATACCCAGCAATCATGGTCGACCATGAAACCAAGTTCCTTTCCGCCATCCCATCAAAAACCGACCTTGCCTTATCTACATCTCCACTCAAACAATACCCAGAAACCAAAGTGTTCCAAGATACAACATCTCTCACAAGCAACTCGTCAAACAGCTTGTGGGCAATCTCAAAGTCGCCAACTTTGAAATACAAATCCACAAGCGAGTTCCGAACAAAACGGTTCGATTCGCATCCATACTTAGTAACAAAGCAATGTACTTTCTGACCTTCGCGCTCTTGGGCAAGTCCAGAGCAGGCCTTGATGACGGAAGTGAAGGTGTACTCATCGGGGGGTGGCGCGTGGGGCGTCGTCAATTGGGTGTTGAAGTGAGAAATGGTGCAGGACCATTCGTTGTTCTGAGCAAAGGCTTTGAGAAGCGCGTTGTGAGCGAAGATGTTTGGGTGTGTGAGGTGGTGCGTGAATATCAGAGCAGCGTGGCGCGCGTTGGCCCTGTTGCCACACACCCCGATGAGCTTCACAGCAATCATGTTTGGGTTGATTGATTCGTGGGGCGGAGGAAAGGTGACGAGTTGGGTTTGGATTTGGTAGAGGTGGCGCATGGTAAGTTGGTGTGCACATGTTAGCACAATGTGGATGAGTTTGGAGTGGTGAATCAAAGCCAGTGTGATGTTAGTGAGTTTGTGGTTTGGTCATAGCAAGAAGAAGACCCTTCAAGAGGTTCTGTTGAATAAAAAATGTCACTCTCTCAAAAGAAATCATTTTAAGGATTTAAGCTTCTTAAAAAGGTAAATTTGATAAGTCTCAAAAGTTTTTAAAATAAATAAGATAATTATTTGGTAAATTCAGTACGTGTTTAATTTAGTTTTATTTTTTTGTTTAGATAATCTCCTAGAATCCAATTATCTGATGTCTCGTGTTTCAGAAAATGTATGATACTCGTGTATGGACTGGACAAGAGAAGCATAGTTTGTTTGCTTCATTTCACTAATGCAATTTCTCTGTTTAGATACACAAATCTAAAATTGGTTGCTCATATACTTGACTGTAACATATGGAGATTAATCATTTCTTTTCAGCCATATATATATATGTGTGTGCTTGTATGATTGTATTTACAGTATCTGGATCATCTACGCAATTGATAAGCAGCTTATGCATGATGCCATATCTTGGTTTCAATATCATAAAACAATCTGGTCCAAGACAGCCTTGTGGATTGAATGGGATATACATTTAGCACTTAGCCATTACTTGACCAAGTATCCTTCAAACAAGAAACCACATCAGATAATCGAGACAGAGATAGCAAGCTTAGGAATGGAATGAATAGAGCTTGTCTGTCACTTCGCTGATGAACAGAAAATATGAGAAATCAGGAATACCACCAACGAAAAGGGGTGGCCACCCCTAAGAGCCTCAATTAGATATTGTGCCATTGTTACCCTAGTTTCAAACCCGAACAGGATCCACCATTGTACGTACCAAGCTAAGGAATGAATAGATATAAAACATTGACTGTACACAACCATCTCACAGCTAAAATGATTGGAGAAAGTACGAAAGAGAATGTTGAGAATATGCCGTGGACAGAAAACTGCAACGCAAAGGAGTGGTGGCACATTTCCTTCTATCAGACATAGACTAATGTAAGAAATGTGAGAATAGCACTTTGAATTTTTTGTTTTACTAATACGTTGTTCTACCAACAATTTGATTGTCAAGTTTCAACCACATTTGGATAGAAAAGTAGAATGTGTAGCAGAAGAAAACAAATTATCTCCACTTACTAGAGCTATGAAGTTCAGTTAATCCTCTCAACTACTTTGATCATTTGGTTTTCCATTCATAGTGGACGATGGTGTCTTTACATCGCAGCTACTTGATTCTTTTGGATTGCAACAGTCTGACTTTTTTCTAAAGCCAAACCTTTTTGGGAAAATGCTCCAACTTTTCTTTGTCTTACTCAGCTTCTGCAGATCATTTCGAATGCTTGAGCATTCCTTCTCCAGCTCCAAAAGACGTTCTCTCACATTTTCAGTTCCCTCTGCAGAGTCCATTTGACAAGTACCATTACTCTTGGGGAGACCAAGATCTCCACTGGGGTTTTGTGAGTTCCCAAGATTGTCAGAAACAAAGAACCAGCCAGATATTGATGTACGGAGTCTAAGCTGTTCAAAAAACAGTACTTGAACAATTACTCGGAGAGGTAATCTTTCATTTTGTGCTGCATGAGTGCTCGCTTCCAATGAGAGCTTTTGGCAGTTCATCAGTCTGCAAAGTTGCTCCCGTTCAGAATCTGTCAGCCACGGATGTGCCTGTAGTTGTCATCAATGATTATCAAATTTGAAACAGTTGAGCACAAAAGAAAATAAAAATAATGTAGAAATAGTACTTAATTGTGAGCTCTTGGTACTAAATTTGTGAGAGGTTCATTCGCCAAATAGACTTGTTAGTCACTCTTTTTCTTTGTCGTGAGTTTATTTTATCTTCTTTCTCAATATAGCTACGGATAAGGCATTAACTTTCAAACAACAGCAACATTAAAATCTTCACAAATTTCATTATTGTTTTCCACAATTTCAGTTCTTTTTCAGAAATTTTCATATCTATATGGCAAAACTGGAAGCAAACACAGGTATGTATATAAACAAATTTCTTGGGCAAGCTAGGCTACCCAAAATGATCTAACCTTAAGATATACATCTATTGCATGGTATATACCATCATCAAGTGGCCTAGCATAATCTGGAATTGCAACAGCAAGTGCCTGAAACTTAGGCAAGTTCAAATTAGCATCTGAAGCCACCTCAGCAAGATATCCATCTATCAAATTTGCGACCATTGTCATAGGTTTCAATATATCAGCCCCCCCAGCTATCAATGCTCCCTCTTCAATTATACACGGAGAAGCACATACAGATGCAGGCTGGTATATAGACATAAAATGATCAAGAATCCTCTGAATGCAGTCTACATCATAGAGGGTCTCAACCGAGTATCCCATATTTGGAATGAGAAGATCCACAAGCACGGCCTGGTCTAGTTGAGCTCCAACCCTTTTCTCTAAATTTTCTCTGCATGATGGATTTGCATGTAATATCATTGCTGTGCGGAGCAGCCTAAGCAGATACTTGGAAGATGTGATCCCCCTCTTATTGGGAATCAACTCCACAATTTCTTCCAGTAGAGCCCTTTGATCTGCTTCAGAAGTTGTAGGAATGGTTGCATGATTTGTATCTTTGAAGCTTGATTGCCTATTCATCAAAGGGAGAAACCTCCTAAGATAATATATGAGAGATGCAGCTACACTCTCAGATTTCATGCCTTTTGATTCAATGGATAAAATCAGTCGTTTATATAAGGGCAGGCTTAACAAAGACACATCATAATACCACCAATCATCACATAGAGATGGTGGTTCAGAAGAAATCCCATTCCACATTACATTGTCTGCTTGGTTTTGCGTGCTGCAATTACGTCCAGCCACAGGCCAATTGAATAAGTTTGGATCTGAACAAGCCTTCATAGCCAAGGAATCTATGCATCTTGAAACGATATGGAGGTCCTCTGCAAAGGGTTGCACTTCCTCACATGTTTCAAGGGATTTTATGGAATCTGGCCAATTGCTGAAAACTTCATTGAGAAAAGCCTCTGTCTGTCCAACAAGATTTCCTTCACCATAGCTTTCTGTCATTTGGAGGTACTCTGCTGCACATCTGAGGCTGACTACATTTAATGGTGTGATTTCTATTTTTACACCATAGCAAAACTTGGTTATAAGCTCGAATGTTATAGCTCCACCAGGAGTATCATGAAGTTGCAAAATACAACTTGATCCATCCTCGTTTGAGGACTCTGCAATGAGTTTCTTTAGTAGCCCACTTCTAGAAAGCAATGGAAACTGCATGAAAATCACAAATGAAGAAACAAACTAAGGACCAACATGTATACATACTTGAATTCTGTACTTGACAGAGACCAACAAAGACATAGAAGGTAAAGACTGGGAAGGGAAGAAAAGAAAAGAAAAATAAAAAAACAAAGTGCATGCAATAAGTTAAATTAAAACAAGCACCTTGTGGAGGAGAAAAGAAATTTGGCCAACTTCAATGGTAACATCACTTGGAAGTCCCGTTGTACAAACCCTGAAAGTAAAATAAAATAAAATCATGAAGAATGATCCAAAAATTAGGGGAATTTGCAGATAAAATTCAAAACCTCCCCACCATCCAAAAAGATAAATTAATACAAGGTTCCATTTAGATATGGGAACATTTTAACAAATAAAAACAAGGTTATTTATTGCCATAAGAATCCATTTTGGTTAACGAACACAACCCATTGGAGGAAAATTTAGAGAGGCTCACCACGTTTGGCCTTCACGACGAAAAGCTTCAGACTTTGATCCCATACTCATGAATGCCATTATATTTAATTGGAGATTATTGTAAAGATTGATATTTTAAGACATGGGAAAATAGCGGTGGAGGAGGAGGAGCAGGGGAAGATAGAAAGGTGGGAGTGATGATGAAGCAGCGAGTCTAAAGCCTAGTAACTGAAAGAGCGACAAAAACGGTTAACGTAGCTATCTCCAAATTCCGCTTTATGTTGTATCTCTTTCTCTCTCTCTCTTCTTCCCTTTCTCTTTCCTCTCATAAATAGTTAGCAAATAGCATTCATTGTTATTTACACACAATAATACATTCTCAACAAACTCGCAAATTCTTATATGCGCAGCTATCAGTTAGTGGGATGACAACCTCTCTCAAACTCTGAAAAAAATCTAAAATACTACTATCGAACTATATACATCCAACCAATAGTAGCATAACACACTAGGTAACATGTTTGAAACAGTTTTAATATTAAGATTATGTATTTCATGTGTAATTTTATTTTTAACTACCATCGTACCTAATACTTAGTACAATGATAGTATTGAATATGTTCTATCTAAATTTATTATTTTATGTTTGTGAATAATTATACGATGAAGATTATATTTAAAATCTATTTTCGTATACAATTAAGGATTTAGTTATTTTTTATATTATTAAAAATTAAGTTATTTTTTTTATAATATTAAAAATTATCTTTTATAATAGAATTTAGTTATTTTTTTGTATAATGATAACTGAATTTTTTTAATTAAGGATTCTAGAAAATGAGAGTGAATCCAGGTCTTCTACCGTCTAGGAAAACCAAACTTTGATCTATTATTAGAATAAAACATTTTATATTATCCAATTATGTTATGAGGTTTCGTATCATTAGAAAAAGTTTGGCCATATGCGATCGAGTCCTCACCTTTGGATTAAACAAAACCCAAGGAGATGTGTGCTTGTGATTGTGATTGAATTCTCACGTGACGCTATATTAAGCAGTGTCATTTATAATATAATTAAATTTATTTAATGACGTATTGCTGTATAATTTTATAATGGTATTATATTAAAGGAGTTATTAATATACGTATCTTAATTATGTGATAAAATAAAGTTGTGAATTCCATAATTTTTAAAAAAAGGAAAAAAGGAAAAAAATATAGGCATAGAATTTCATAAATGTGTAATATAAGACAATTATCTTATTTGTACGAATAAAAATAAGTCCTTTATAATTATTCTAATAAATTTTCTCAATAATATGTGATGAGTTAAATGAAATTTATAACTAAATATATTAAGTCCTCAATTCGCGTTTAATCGTTGGAAAATATAGCATTTTTGAAAGAAATGTGAGAAAAAGGAAAAAGAGAAACATGATAAGGGGGTTGTTGGCACTTGGCAGTGTAGCAGTCTCTCTCTCTCGCTTGAAACTTCTAAAACCAACTGAAACACTCTCTCTCTCTCTCTCTCTCTCTCTATCTGCATTTCCAATTTTACTTTGCACAACCATCATAGACGACGACGTTTGGATTTTGTCATCCCTACTTCAAATCCCTAAACCCAGACTTCTAATTAGCTTTTGTCTGAGGCGACGCCGTTTTTGGTGGGAGCTTAGCTTATGGCTTCCATGCATTCCGATCTTGTGGGCAACTTGTCCTTCAATCACTTCCAGGTTAGCATCAAGGGGTGTTAAAAAGTTCAAGTTTTTAGCTTCTGGTTGCTTCGCTATTCTTTCTTATGTGCACTTTACAGTTAGTGATTTTTATAAAAGAAAAAAAAAAAATACACTCAATTTTGAAGTGAGTGAAGTGACAATTTACATAAATTTTCGTTTTCCTTCGTTTGAAGTCATTTATCTCACTTTGTTATGTTTTTATTGTATGTAATATGGAGCTAATTTATAGTATACAATGGTTGAAACCCCGTAGAGATCATCATACTTGGTGGGTTCATTTCCAGCTGGTATTTTGCAATGTAGAGTTGGTTTCAGCAATTCAAGAAGGCGGGTTCCTTCATATACTTGTATAAAGTGTGAAAAGAAGGATGATTATATTGAGCATGTATCAGTGGAACGTCCACCTTATCACAGTTACATGGACTCCACCTCCGGCCAGCTTGAGCCCGCATCCGGTGCTCGAGCAAGTGTTCCTGAACGAGAGTATTGGCCTGAAGGAACTGCCAGTCAAGTAAGGGCTGCAAGGGCACCTGCACCAACTGGTGAATCGTCAGGTTCTCCATCTTATGGCACGAAGCCTGGAAGTAGGAGGAAGAATTACAAAGCATCTGTTTCTGCTGCTTCTTCCTCTGAGGTCATGGTTGAATCAACTGACACTGGGCCATCCGAGGCATTGGCATTGGATGAATCCGCGGAGGATTCTCAAGAATTATCATCTGACTATGTTGTTTATCAGTCTGAACCCGAGGAAGAAGAGGAGACTGGATATGATCTTGATAAGAAACTTGGTGTTCCTCATCCATTTATTGATCCAAAAGTTAAAAAGCCAATAGACGGAACACTTACAAGTGAAGAACTATGGTGGAATTGGAAAAAGCCGGAGAAAGAACAATGGTCCAGGTGGCAAAGGAGGAGGCCGGATGTTGAAACGGTTAGTGTGCACGTGAATGGTTATGGAATTTTTTTTGACATTGTGTGTGCCTTCATTGGTTTTGTGCTTTATGATTGTAATTTGTTATATCTGTGAATTAATTCACCCTGATCAATTTGTGGATTAAAGGGTCATGTGGCCAGTGGCCAGTTCATTTTCTTATAGCATTTTGGTTAACAACTGAAAAGGCTTTATGAACTTGCCCGTTAAATCATTTTCTTGTGGAAAGATGCTAGTTGCTCTCACTACCCTTGTTAGATACTAATATTTGTTAGATCTTCCACGGTTATGTTCATCAGGCAAGAGGTCTAAAGGCCAGTTAGATGTGTTGAAGTCATAAATTTGATTGCTGATGATGAAATCTTACTTCTTGTGTCTGAACTATCATTTTTCAGGTTTTCCTGAAAGCGATGGCAGAAACTGGGCAAATAAAGCTTTATGGGGAACATCCAACATTAACTGAAACTTCTCTTTACCGAGCAAGACGCCATCTTTATAAGGAAGAAAGGTATTGCTGACTATGAAGCTCACAACGTAGTTCTTAGAGGCCTAGCCCTAGAATTGAAAGTGTTCTGTTTTGTAGTGCATCCTAAATGTAAAGCATATAAGAACCACAAACAAGAAACCTAATAAAAAGGTTGAACAACAGTTGCTTGAAGAATGAGAATTCTGGAAGGACTTAGCAACTGCATCAGAATTATCTTCGTATTCTTAGAAGGCTACTAGATGTAATTCACATAATGAATTGAGGGGTAAATCAAATAAAGTTTTTACTTCACAAACCAAACTTGTGCTGCTCCAAGTTTATTTAAGCCCCTCCATTTAATGTATTTTATAATAAATTGACTTTGAAAAAAAAAAATGGTAGCAGCCAATATGCTCATTTTATTTAACAAGTGGAAAGTTGAGTTTTGGTTCTTTGTTAAAACGGGTTTGCTGGGTGTTTGAGTGTTGTCAAAGGGAATATAGTTGTTGCGGTCTCGACAAGTGTACCGGTAGTACAAGTAATAAAGTAACGAGAAAAGTACCGTTTCCACGAGGATTGATTTACCAAGAACTTTTTTCACTACTCTACCAAAGTTGGATCAATTGGAATAGTTTTTGTGAATTTGATTGAAATAATAAAACTGATGTAACAACCACCAAATAACGATTAAGAGCAAGAAAAGGACTCAGATTAAAAGTTGAAATAAAGATTAAGAATGGAATGAGCAGTTAGGGTAATTAATCTACTCTCTCTCAAATAACATTCAAGCTCATGTTTCCAAACAATTCACTATAAATTAATCAAAACCCAATTACTTGGTATTTCGATTCTTTGACATATTAAGAATCCTAATTCCTTAGTAATTCCTTTTAGGGCAAGCATTAAGAGCGATGAATTAACACAAACGCAAGTTCCATTAGTCTATTCCTAGATCAAACAAAACCTAGCAATTATTCAAGTTAGTATTTTACACCAATATCCCTATTGTCATGCACGATTCAATTGTTCCTCTATGATTGGCCAAATTGCAAAAGAACTAAGAATGAGAATCAAAATAATTGAATAACATGAAAAGATGAATATTATATTAAGAGTAAAGAGTAAATCAATTTAGGATTCAATTGGTTCCATCTAGCCCTAACTATAAAAGAACTTAGCCAGACATGGCAAAAGAAACAAAAGCAATAGATGAAAGAAAACTATAGAAATCCATAACAAGAACTTGGTGATTGATCTCCACGGTGATGCCTTGATCTTTCCCCAACTCTTCAGTCCAAAAACTTAGCTTTTCTCCTCCTCTTGTCGCAGAACGCAGTGTATGTATCCTCTTTCCTTTTTTTTCTTTTCATAAAAGTCAATGGGCCTTTTTGCGATGATGCTCGCTGGTTAGCAAGCATCTTAGCGAGCAATATTGGGAAAAATTGATTCTTTGGCTTTGCTCGCTGTAGCAAGCAACTCAGCGAGCAGTTGCACAAAACTGGTTCTCTCTGGCCTTCCTCGCTAATGTTGTTCGTTGTAGCGAGCATCCTAGCAAGGAGAACTGGGAAAAATGCTTCTCTGGAAGGCCAGCGAGCCTGTTAATCTTTGAACTCTGTCTTCCCCAGCTTCCTTGGTCCGACCCTTGCTTTATCTCAGCATTTTTAACTTGTAACCAATACAATTTTTAATGAGGATCGTATCAAACAAGAAAACTCCAAAGTCTTTTTCAATTTACTAAAATTTACCATATCTTTGACCATATTCCACAATATTTAGCACAATTTGGTCCTAAAAGCATGATATATTCAAGACTTAACAATAGCCCCCGAAGGGCAAGACCCAAATTTTTGGTAAGTGACAGTTTCAGGGTGCTCCAAAGTTAGGGATAGGAACCATTCTCCAGGAATGTGGATGCAAGACTCTTTCAGATGTATTTTGTCAAAAGAAAAAATAAAGACACTCTTACTTGTATTTTTTCCAAAGAAAAGACATCATCAGGGGTAGGAAAAAATTGAGAAAACCCATCTACTATGGCTGTGTTGGGTTTTGGAGTTCTAAAGCTTAGTACAATATCTGTGCATGAAGTTAAATTTTATTTATCATAATCATACATGTCAAAATTAGTTTCAAAATTCTATATCAATTGCTTTAAACCTGAAAAGTGTTTATTATAAAAGCTTCCCATAATATTTTGTCTCACATAATGGAATCTGTGAAAATAACTCCTGATTTTTGCAGGCTTCAGGATGAGCGAGAGAGATTAGAAAGGATTGGTCCAATAGCATACTATTCAGAATGGGTAAAAGCATGGAAGAGGGATACATCTCTTGAAGCTATTCAGAAGCATTTTGAAGAGACTGGTGAAGATGAAAATGCTCAACTAATTGAAATGTTTTGCCACCAAACTGACCGAGAGTATCGCGTAATGATGGGGACTGATTATCGTATACAAAGGGATCCTTTAGCTATGAGAATGAGGGAGGATCAGATAAAGCAAAGTATTGACTTTAAAGATTAAATATTTCTGTTTCATGTCTGTATCTCTTTTAGTTTTTAGTCATCTTATGTCTTCTGGCTATTTATCTTATATTTTATTATTCTAAGATTATTCAACTTTATTTAGTATTGTTTGCCAAAGAATCTGATAGGACCTAGAAGAATAAATTAGAACAGGGTCAGAGTAAGTTAGATGGTTGGATATTTGTTTAGTTGGTTATAGTTAGAATCTACCGGGGGTATAGGTAGTTCGGCACATGAATTCAGGCTTAAATAGCAGGAGCAAGCTAGGAGAGAGGCATTCAGGAATTTAGATTTGAGAACTGAGCAAAGGCTCTGTTGTTAAAGAGGTAACTCTTTGTGAAGGGGAAACCCTTGGAAGGAGATTTATCTCCTTAGATTCTTAGTTTGTAATTCAATAAACACTACCAAGGTATTCTTCTTCCTTTCCTCATCTCTCTCTACGAAAACTGTTAAGAACCCAATCAAGAAGAAAAAGAAATGGATGAAAAGACCAAACTGAATATCTATATAAATTCTATTGATATCAGAGTGATATCAAGAAGACAGTACAGTGGCTACAATATGGAAAATAGAAAATATTCTAAAGAAACAATTGCAGAAAAGAAAAACAATCCTCAGAGCAATTAGAGAAGCTCTGATTTCTCCAAATCCAGTCCTAATCCCCGCCTCTTCTGAAAATAACCTCCCTATTTATAAAGATGTGTGTTCCCACCTTCTCTTATTTCCCTTCAGAATATCCCTCCACTCACCCCTAATAGCCTCTCTGCTGACTCGGCAGCTAATTTGTTTTCAATATTTTCCCCACTCCTTCCAGAACATACTCTAAATGGAGGTATTGTATCAGTTCGTAACAGAATCTGAGAATTACTTGATCTAAAGGTTTAAGCTGTTACACGAGGGCACAAAAATGAAATTTGTATCTATAAGACATTCCTCTATATACATGAAAGTTCTCCACGTATAAATTGTGAGCCCTATAGGATAGCTGAGAATCAACTTTTTTTGTACCAATATTTAATTATAACTTTTTTACTGGTAAACAATGTTACCCTGTATTTATAATATTATTATGCTCTAATTTGAACCCAGTTTTGTCTGTATTTGAAAAAGGAACGGAAAATCAACTGAAAAAAATATATTTGTGCTGGAAACTTCAGACTTACATTATATCTTGTTCCTTTATTAAATATCATCTACTTTTACCTCTGTTAGTGTTAAACCATTCACTATTTGCACTGATCACATCATACTTTATGCATTGACATCTACTGTTAAAATACTTATGCTCACTCTAGATCAACATCAACAACACATTTATCCCAAACTAATTGGGATCGGTGGTAGATGAACCCAAATGAAAGGTACAAAGGGATAAAAATAAAAATAATATAAAATAATAATAATAAATAAAATGATAATAATAATAATAATATATATAAATATAAAAGTAAAAAATAAAAAGAAGAAGAAGAAGATGGGGAAGAAAAGAGATAAAGGAAAAGAAGGGAGAAAGAAGAAGAGGGGGGAGATGAAGAGGAAAAGGACTAAAAATGGACCATATGGAACATAGGAATAACAACGGGTCTAACCCTCCACTATGCTAATAGCTTTTCTCCATGCCGTCCTAAGGCACACCATTCGCCAATTTATATCCCACTCCATTAAGTCTTGTTTTACTACCTTTCTCCAAGTAAGTTTTGGTCTACCTCTACCTTTCTTTGTGTCGAGCTCTTGGTAACAAGCTTTTGTTCTTACGGGAGCACCCAGGGGCCTTCTCATTACGTACCTTAACCACCTTAATCTATATTCTGTCATTTTTTCAGCCACCAGTAGCACTCCTACCTTAAGTTGAACATCTTTATTTCTTATCTTATCCATCCTCGTATAACCATACATTCACCTTAACATCCTCATCTCTGCTATTCCCATTTTATGTTCATGTTGCCAGCTTCATATAACATTGCATGCCTTACTGCTGTTCTATTGAATTTTCCTTTTAGCTTAGGGGAAATTTTGCGGTCACACAAAAACCCAGAAGCACTACGCCATTTCATCCACCCTGCTCTGATTCTATGATTTACATTCTCATCAATCTCTTCGCCTTTTTGCACAATGGATCCCAAATATCTAAAAGCATCTTTCTTGGGTACCTCTTGACCAAGTAGATGCACAAGATCTTGGTCTACATCTCTTACCAGAGAAAACTCACACTTCATATACTCAGTCTTGCTCCGGCTTAACGTGAATCTTTTAGACTCCAACGTGCTTCTCCACAATTCAAGTTTTCTATTAACACCGTTTTTGGTCTCATCAATAAGTATAATATCATCTGCAAAAAGCATATACCATGCCACTTCCTCTATTAGTTCATCCATAACTTATGCTCACTCTAGTGTAGATATATTTAATCCAGAATAGTAGTTGAAATTTTTTTCTTCTTTCTTGCAGTATGGGGTGGAGATCCAGTTTACCCAACCGTGAACTATATTCGAGAGCCAGATGCAGTGGTTGACTACAGGGGCCCAGATTTTCATGAACCAACACCAAATATGCTAGATTATCTGAAGGAGGTTATTTGCACTGAGCTCATCTTCTTTGCTTTCTGTCATTCCTTTCTTTCTTTACTGGAAATTTTAATTGCTAAATGGGAGTAAATTGTAATAATTAACCTCTTTAGATGAATATGGAACATATCTACAGGAGAGAGTGCTCAAGATAGTTTTGGGATAAATTTGTCACTCTTTACATGATGTGCTTGGATATTGCTTTACATCTATCTCTCCAAAATATAAGCTTGATGCGATCGTTGACGGTTATTTTTATCCACCTCAATTTTTAAGATATCTTGTCTCACTTTTTCTCTCAAACTCAAAAAAAAAGAAAAAAGGAAAAAGAAAAAAAGAAGTGAAACACGATTCTCCTTGTTGGTTTATAAAATGGAATATTAACTGTTAAATTTACTTATATTCTAAATTCTAATCCTTTCAAGATAGCTGCTGCTTGTTGCTTCTTTAAAGATAATCCACGGAGCACATGACATGCTTTTATATTTTGTTGTTTTATCTTTAGTGTCATAGGACTGTAGTTAATGTGGCTAAATTTTGTCATCAAATATATGATTTTTTTCTTCTTTCCTTTTCTACCAATTGTTGGAATTTTCGATTTTCAGACTTTCAATGGGAAGACCAAATTTTTAAATGGCAACTGTGATTGCTTATGTGTGTCACAATTACTGAACTTCTCTTCCTTTATATGATCAGCATGGATATATCATTTCAAGGGAGGAACTTAACAAGATTCTGGAAAAGGAAAAGACTGAACAACTTGAGGTAAGGAAGTAATATATATATAACTTTATAATACTAATAGTGAAGATACTGATTTAATGGATTATTTTGCAAACAGATGAGTTACATATAGGCATTTGCTATCTTAAAGAGATATATTGTCGAGTTTTCTATGGTTTGCCTTAACTTGGGTGTTGGAAAGTGAAATACAGACATTGCATTGTTCAGGTGTCCTGTATTAATTTACCAGGTGCAAACTTTTTTTTGATGAGGTCTGTAGTTATATCAGATATAAGGGTGTCAATTGGAAGGCTTAAAGTGTCATTTGTTTTAGTAATTTGGCAATTTTCTAAGTCCTGATATCCAGACAGCCTTAATGGATGAATCGAAGGAATGATGCATTTCTTTCTATATTAAAAAGGAAAAATGTATTTCATGAACAATAATTTAGACTAGCATATATTAACCATCTTGCCAAAGGTGAAACTTCCGGTTTCCTTGCCTCTGCCTACTTTTACATTGCTAGCTTCTCTTTAATCTTCATTTGAAGCTGACAAAAGCAATTGGGATAAAGTCATAAAATAGTACCAAGCTTGTAAAATGCAATCTTTCTTGATGGTTAGGTTCTGTAAAGAACCAATTCAACCCAAAAGCGTAAGTTGGTGAGTGAGGGCATTTTTAATGGTTTATAATATTCTTTAACATGCCCCTCACAAGAGAGCTCAATGGCTTGTAAGTTGGATAATGCATCAGGCCCAACCTACCTGTATTAAGAAATTCCACAAAGAAAATGGGAGGCGGCCATAGTAGTTAATAGCGGCGCTATTGCACCGCGAGCCGCGCTGGATGCGGGTTGCGGTGGCCCATTGCAAGAACAGAATCTGCACCGCGCTGGAAAGGAATTGTGGCCATTGCAGTCAAATTGTGGAAATTTTGCGGACAATTAGCTGGATGTGGGTTTTTAGTCGTTTTATTTAACCCAAACCCACTCCCTCTTCTTGTCGTATGAAGTTGCCTCTTTCCTCTCTCTATTTTTCTGGCCTGTTATGTTTTGTTTTTTCCTCTCTCTCTCTCTTTCGCTCTCTCTGGCATTTTTTTTTTTTTGGCCCTGATATCATGTAAAGAACCAATTCCTCTGAGATTGAGTCACCTGCAACTGGTAAAGACAAGTCAAGAAAAAGAACAGGAAGAACCTGATCAACCTGTGAAACTGAGATGAGATAGAATAGAATGAAAGGGTTGTTGATCAAGAAAAGTGACATCAGCGGAAACAATATAACGCTTAAGATCAGGAGAATAACAATGATAACCCTTTTTAAGACGAGAATAACCAAGAAAAATATACTTAAAGGCTTTAAATGTTAACTTGTCCTTACCAGGAGTGAGATCATGAACAAAACAGGTACATCCAAAGACATGTGGGGATAGAGGATAGAGAGGAGCATCTGGAAACAACAGGTTATGGGGAATGTCATTGTTAAGCATAGAGGAAGTCATGCGGTTGATGAGAAAACAAGAGCACAAGTGAAGAGGAACATGCATGTGAATAAGAAGAGTTCGGCCAGTTTCAGTGAGATGTCTGTTCTTACATTTGGCCACCTCATTTTGTTGTGGAGTGTGCGGACAAATAGTAGGTGTAAAGTACCTTGTGTGGCCAAGAAATTAGAAAAGTCAAAAGAAACATATTCCTTAGCATTATCATTACGTAAAATACGAATAGAGGCATCAAATTGAGTATGAACCTCAGTAGAGAACCTTTTATAAATGGAGAATAACTCAGAATGTTTTTTCATTAAAGAAACCCAGATACAACGGGAATAATCATCAATAAACGTAACAAAACACCGAAAGCCTGAAACAGACAAAGTAAGATTTGGACCCTAAATATCTGAATGAATAAGAGAGAAAGGAGCATCCGCTCGTTTATTGACTCGACTGGCAAAGGAGGAGCGTGTCCTTCCCTTGTTGACATGACGAACAATCTAAAGACTGAAGACCAGATAAAAGAGGAACCATCTTCTGCAATTTTGAAAGACTTGGATAGCCGAGGCGACTGTGGATAAGTTGTGGAGATTCTGTGAGAGAGCATGCTACTGAAGGACAAGGCACAACCAGATAGTAAAGACCCCGTTACTCATGGGCCTCTCCAATCATCTTCCTCGTATCCGGATCCTGCACAGAAACAAAATGCTTAGGGAAGGTAATAGTGGAAGTAAGGGAGTGGACCAATTTACAATAGAAATTAAGTTATAAGGGATGCTAGGAATTTAATAGACAGATGTCAAGGTCAAAGAAGAAGTTGGACGAGCTTGTCCAATCCCACGAACAGGGGCTTTAGTGCCATGAGCAAGGGTAAAGGAAGGTAAATGATCAGAAGAAGTGAGAGATGTAAAAAGTTCCTTATTGTCACAGAGGTGATCGGTAGCACCTGAGTCAAATATCCAAGGACCAAGTGATGTAGAATGAGAAACACAAGCAACAGGATTACCAGTATCTGGAGCATAAGGCTGAGACTGAGGAGAAGCCTTCCTGAGAAGAGTCTGAAGTGTTGCATAGTCTACAGGAGACAGAGAAACTGAACCAGATGGTAGTATCTGACTGAGCTATATTTGCAGCATGAGAGGGTCGCAGGTGAGGATACTTCGTGTAACAACGCTCCTCATACTTTGTGTGAACAAGAGATGATTCTGCCATTATGAATGCAATAAAAATCTGCAGAACTAAGCAAATCAAACACACACCAAACAAGAAGAAACACGCGCCAAACAAGAGACTGACGAAGAACCAAGAGCGGATCTGGAAGGAGGAGACAAAACCGAGCAGTTCTATCCTGAAACGACCAAAAAAGGACGTCGGAACAAGTTACTTTTTTTGTTGGCAAAGAAAGAGTGTTTCCGGCAACGTGAATAGTGTTTCCGGCAGATGAACAGCACTCCGGCGACTTGAATGGTGATTGGCATGAACAGTAACCACAGGAACAGATGTAGAAACAAGCCGGAGGGTCACACGACGTAAAGGAAGGAGAGAACACCTAAGCAGTGGACTTAGGATTTTAGCGGAAGCGAAAGTTCCCAAAACAAGAGTTTTGATACCAACTTGAGATTGAATAAGTGTATATTACAACTGTACAATAGCTCTCTATTTAAAGAGACTAAATGACCTAATGGGCTAAGCCCACAAGATGTGGGATTATATTATATGCACTGAACTACTTTAACATACTATTCTAACAGGTTTATTGGTGAGGTGAAAAACTAACTGGGAAAGCTGGGGCTCTACCCTCAACTAATGTTCTTAAGGGGGAAGAGTTTAGAGGTTCCACAATGACTGTTTTGAACTAAGTTTAGTTAACATAGTGAGTTATCAAATAAGCAAAGCTTCGTACAAATTTTCACTTCTATTAATGATGACATGGTTGGAAGTACAAAGGAGTATCATTTACTTTTCTTTTTTCCAATCCAATATTCCAATTTTGCTTAATGGGCTGTAAATGATCATTTTATTGGGAACCATAAGGACATCTCCAAAGGTAAAGTATGATCTTTATTGACAGAGTGGAAGAATAAAAGGGAAAAAAATAAAGAAGTAAATAAAAACTCATGAAATATTTTTTGAATGTAGATTTATTAGGTTTTCTGTCCCGGTCACTTACTTCAGGTTGATTAATAATTGAAAATCTGGATGGAAATAAAAGTAGGAAGAAAACTAGAAATCCAAATGCGAATTGTTTTTTATTTTGGTGCTTATATTTGTTGAAGTAGAGCCATAAAAGGGGGAAGTACCATTTTGAGGCTAAAGATATAATAAGAGTTTTCTCTTTATCATAGCCACCTGTCAATCGATCCTTATTATCTTGTTTTTGGCAGGATAGATGTATGACCTTTTTTGACCTTATCAAAAAGTTCTAGTGGAATTACTTATTAAGATCTTTTGCTTGTGTTGGATTTTTTTACCTGAACTTCATAGTTCATACTTAAGTGCCAAGTTATAATGCTTCACATAATAAGCCTCTTATAACCATTCCTTTCTATTTTGCATTCTCTTTCTTCCTTCAAATACTACCTATCACCTGTCATGCCGTTGTAGTTTGATACCCTTTATTTGGATTATGGCAGGTGACAGACATGGATGAAGCTATGGCCAAAGCCGTTGACATTGGTGAAAATGATGTGAGCTTCGATTCACCACCTTTATAGGATTTCATTTACCCTTGGCATGTGGTTGTCAAATGAGTTGAGTTGCATTCCTAAATGACTGGTTGTAACTTGTAAGTAACATCCCCTCCGCCCCTTTTCTGACTTTATTAACCAGGATGAAGAGGATAGTGACCTTGATGATGAAGAGGAAGAGGGAGAGGAAGAGAAGATTACTCGAAACTGGAGTGTCTTAAAAAGTACTCCTGAGCTTCGCAAGTCAAAGGTATTCTGATAGTTGTCTTAAAAAGTACTCTTGTAAATCAGATATTTTCTTGTAGTTTTGTCCCTGCTCTTGTCATCTGTTTTCTCTGTTTAGTAGTGTTCAATACAGTTGTCTTTTTAAAAAAAATAGTAACCTTAGGTGGATAAAAGGCTTTCTGATATCTCCTTTTGGGACTATCAAATCAGACGTATTTGAAATATATAGTTATATTTGACATGTTTATCTACTTAATCAGTAACAATGTGTAATCGATAAAAACATCCTTTCCTCTCCTTGAACATGCAGCCAAAACCAAAGAAAGATGGTCCTTTGTCCCTAGACGATGCTGTAGATGATTCTGAGAACTTGACTGATTTCCTCTTGGACTTTGAAGAAGAATGACATGCCTCCTTGTAAAGCGTTCCATGTCAAGTGGTGTCTTGGGGTGGTAGGCGTTTACGTGATGTTGTTAAGACAGGATGAAAGGTTTGGATGTAAGTATTCCTTGTCATTATCAATATCTTGAACTATTAATAACTTCTTATAGGTATTGCCTCAGTGAATGGGGTGACTCAGGCGATAAATGTTGGAATGAGATTCTGAATGCTAGCTCAAAGTTTCTAGAAACATTGAGCGAGAGTCAAGTTTCCACTTGAGCTATTCCCCTGAATACTCAGTTAAGTACTTGTTTCCAACATATGCGGGAATTTAGCAGAAGATAAATTAACTATGTGAGTGACCTTTCCAATATTATATTATATTGTAATTTTGGTGCAAACTAGAATCTAATATATTCAATCACATACCTTCTTTCTCAAGTAGTCAAAGCAATAATGTCATCATTTATTGGAATTTACGACCTCCCTAGGCATGTATAAGACTTTTTGCGAAAAGGGAATGAATTCTTGTGCTTGATTAATTTTAATATGCATACGATCATTTTATTATGTTTTAATATTTTTAACTGAACATTGTGTGAAGTTTACGCGGGGAGTTATAATGTGTAAGCAAACCAGGTTTTCAACATTTTTAATCTTACAAGGTGTTGAGAAGTTTTAGTCTTTTAGAACGCATTAGCTAAATATTTTATCCCATTGTAAGTTTCCTCCAAGTAACTATTGTTTTTAGTCCCATTGTATTATTGTTTTACTGCCACTGAAATCGTCAGAAAAGAGACTGTAGAAAAAGGCTTGAAAAGAACATTCAAAGGGGTCATATACATATTACAAAGATTCATATTGTTTTGCTTATTCCCCCAAATAAACAGTGTTATCCACGTTTCATAGATAGAATTAATTCAATGGCCCAAACAAAAGTGCTGGACCCAAATACAATGAAGCAAGAGCCGAATAGTATAAATTTTGCAAGAGCCGAATACAGTGATGTCTTTGCCTTGACTAGCCAAACATGTGTATCTAAAAAACTCTTTGCAATTTAATAACAAAAAAAATGTTTGCAAGTACTAATGTTCCACTAAGTGTGTATTTTGGTGAGGGTTTGTAAGTTTGATTTTAAGTAACTCAGATTTTAGAAAATTGATGAGTGAGTTTAAAGTGAAATCATTTATGGTTGGATACTTTAATCTGAAAAATGATTTTGGTAGAATTAAAGTTGTTGTTTGCCATAAATTTGCTGAGCTCAACACAAAAGCAATCCAACACATGCTTTTGCATAAATTGATTTTGGTCTTTGGAGCTAAAATTTCATTGGAGGCAGAATCTAATGCATGTTTAAAAAATGAGTAACTTTTTGTGTTCCTAAACCCACATTTTGAGTCTATCAAACGTGAAACCAAACAAAGGCTAAATCATTCCCTAAAACCAAAGAAAGAGAACTAATTAAATTCCCTAAATTGAACAAAGGAAACTCGATTACTCCCCGAGGGTTAGGTTGTGGCCCATTTGGATTTCACCTTTGAGGAATGGCAGTTTCTGGAATTTTCCACTTCTCTACGGAATTTTTTTTTCCTCTTTACGTATTGCTGTAAAATATCTTTTAGTTGCTTAGTTTACTTTGTTGTTAAATTAATTATTTTTTATTACTTTAATTAATGATAGACCATTTTAAAAAAATATTAGCAGTAGCAATTCTTATTTAAATATGTGATAATTATATATAAAAACAAAGCAACATATGGCTGTTTTTTTAATATTTTTTATTGTTTCATTTTTCAATGATTGACAAAGATAAAAATGGTGATTGCGGGTCCTAATGGAACTTGGGCCATTAACCATTTGACTTATTTTATAAACCGTATAGACCACCCAGGCACCTACTATGTACTAATTTATATAACTATTTTAAAGTGTTCGTATTTAATTTTAACTAAAAAAATCCAAGTGAGAGTTTATAAATGCAGTTGCAGTACAATAGTACGTAATTTTATATTAAAGTAATTGTATATTCTTTATTATTTTTCTCTTTTTGAATACACAGGCAACTGTTTTGGCTTCTCTTGTGATGATTTCATGTTTGACTAACCCATGTGCTAATGTTGTCGTTATACGAAGCACTTTTGATCAATATTAAACCTTTTCACTAATCGACCAAATTATAGGCCAAAATTAGCACTCACTGGAAATTTTTACACCCTGAAAAACTGATTCCAGCTTAAGTAGGGTGAAGCTATGGAATGGAGAGAGCCTTTTTAAGCATAGACCACATTTATCTCTTTATTTATTGTCAAGAATAAGCACAGTTTTGTTTTTTTATTTTTGGATCTTAGTGGCTTCCAGAGCATATTTAGTGAAATCTAGTCTAGTTAAAACCAAATCTAATTAAAAGCCCAGGTGCTTCTTCTCTACCCCTAGATTGAAATTATTTATTCTCCCTGGCCTACACTATCCAATTGATTCTTCTGCTAGATCTTAAAAGTGCTCTATACATTAAAATATCATTCTTTATACTAATATCAAAAATCCCAGCAATTAGTATTCTATTAAAATAAACATTAGCAATATTATAATAAACTTCGATAGCCATGTTTTTATTATACAGAATTGATAGCATCATTGATGTCTTAACATTTTCTAAACCAAGAAATATGTTCAACCCACTTGCCCTGCTTGGAACGTGGTCCCATTAATAATGCATGGATTCACATTCATCATATGTATCTTTGACACAACTTTAAAACAAAAAGTTTTCTTATGTATCTTAAGGGATACTCCATCCAATAGTTTTAAATTCAGCTCCTTGTAGAATTCCAATATCCTCAAAGCTATATTCAAAGTGAAAAAATGTTGACCATCCCATCTCTAAGTAGTGGTGTATAATTTTCTTGTCAGGGTATCCTTATTTTATTTGCAGCCCCAAGCTAAAATATCCTCAGTATAGGTGCTTCAAAATTTCCCCTGCTACAAAATTCACTGTTCAAGGGGACACATTATTGACATCTCCTCAGACTATTGATTCAATCAACTTTGTCACGTGTGGATCTGTATAAGAGAAACAAAAAGGAGATCAGAAATATATTAGATATTAACAGAATGAAAATATTTGTCTATAAATGACAAGGAATCTGAGATTTGACTTGAAAGACATAGTGTTTATTGTAGGGGTTGTAGGTCCATTTTCACTAACTAAGATGATATAGAAATGATTAGGAAGTATGGTGATCAACAAACATGTATTATAATTAAAACAAAACTGTTAATGGGTTTATTATGTTTGATATATTGGAGACCCTTTGTCACCCAAAACATGGCCAAGAAAAAATCCAAAGGGCTGCTGCTGCTGGCTGGCTTGCTTTCTTGCTTTGAAAAATGGCAAACAAAGAAAGGGGGGAAACAGAAACATTTGGTCAACATGTTTCATTCTATGTTCTTCTCTCTCTAGCAATGTTTATGCCCATCTTTGGTGGGTTTATATTTAATAGGGGACGCTTATGGTTAAACCCTTTTCATTATAATAATAATAATTATGATTAGTGACGCTTTCAACCTTACTTTGTCATTAATTAGTCACATTCATCCTACATGCCAAAATGATTAAGAGATGGGCTCCACATTATTATTCTGTTCGGTTTGCCTCCCCTCTTTAGTGATGTATTGTTCTTAAGTTTGTCTTTCTTCCACTTTCATGGTGTGCTAACAACTTAACATGTTGTTTAATTGTTATAATCTATAATGTAGATTTCAAAAATCTTGACGTGTCGTGTTTGATACTTTTTGATACTCTCCATCACTTTAACATGTATTACAGAGATTCAAAAAAAAATTTAAAGGTTGTGTTGTGTTACTTTTTTAATTATAATTATTAGATTCGTTGGATTATAATTACCATTTTATTGAGTTTAATATAAATATTTAGGATATCTTATGGTTCTTTGCAAAATAGATGGGTATTATAAATTTAGTTTATTTTTTTGTTAAATTATTGAATATTAAATATAATATATACTATATAAATTAAAAAAATTATTTAATATTCAAATGTGTCAAAATGTTATATTTTTTAGAATTAACTTGTTGAAGTGTCGTGTCTCGCAGCGATGGGGCCACATTGGTGCCTGCAGGTACCTTGGCACTGGCTAATTTAGCCACGTTTCAAGCATAGCTAAATAAACGTAGCAAATCACGTTTCAAATTTTTTGAAAATTAACCACATTTTGAATGTAGCTATATAACCATAGTCATCTTGGTATCGGCTAAATTTTTTGGCACCGGCTAAACTGCCTTATCGGTGTCGGTGTAACATATGTTATAATTCTAAATTTTTTTTTGGTAAACATTATTCTAACTTTTTAACATATACACTCATATTCAACTTCATTTTAAAACAAATTAAAATTAATTATGCGCTTGTGTTAACTCCTCCTCATCTTCAAGTTCAAAATATATATTACCAATGAGCACAATTAATCAGTTACATAACCCTTCAAAACCCGCCAATTTGTCCACAACATGACCTTTTACTATTGTTACCCTCTACACGGCTTACTCGAGATGCTTGTTTATTTTCCAATGGATAATTTATATACTTTCTGTCTTTTGAGATTTCATTTTGTTTACTTCAAAAACTTATCTAAAAAAAGTTAAGTATGAAGATAGATATGAATGTGTCACATATTTCCAAAATGTATAATAAAAAAGTATTTGCCAAATTGAAAAAGGAAAAATCTTTTTGTTTTCACTGCTAAAAAAATTTATCTACAATACTCATATAAAAGTAAGCCAGTTCCCTGAATATTTTCTCTCTCTTCTCTTAATAATAGGATATACTTACTTTTATATGTGTAACAGAAAAAAAAAAATCTACAACAAAAGCATAAACATCACTTTTATATGGATATGGCATAGAAAATATTTTTGCGGTAAAAGCATATTTTGCTGCAAAAAAAAAATTTCAGTTACACTCACATAAAAATGAGTAGATTTCACCAATTTTTTTTCTCTTTTTTGACAATGAGACTGACATATTTTTATATGAGTGTGATAGAAAAAATTTCGACAATAATAACAAAAATATTTTTTCCAATTATAAACGGGACAGGTGTGAATATTTTTTTAATCCATTTCAACATTTCATTCGAGTAAATACGCTTCTTAATTTTTTATAATACTTTGCACTCACACTTTAATTTCTAAATTTCTTTTTATGCACAAGTTAATTTTTAAATTTATAAAACTCATATCAATTTAGCCTAAACACATTTTTAAAAATTGATTAACTATATTTTAATTTATATGTTGTGACATGATGAATTAATTTTAATATTATAATTGACTATTATATAAATTATTTTAAAATACTCTGGTGTAGGATGAAACATTCTTGTAAAAACAGGACTGGGTTTACCATAAAACTCTCTGTGCCAAACCTATTAATTAATGTCTTATAATTAAGTACTAATTTTTTTCATATGACGTGGCATTCGAGAAACATAGGACGAAGGTTCTTTGGATTTTGGAACAGTTACAAAA